GTAGCCCATTGTGGATTTGGACTAAGTTGTGCAGAGAGAATAGGGAAATGAAAGTAGTAGAAGGATTGGAGGTGGGCGTGAGGGCGTTTTTAGTAAAATATATATGGCGTTAGAGAGAGAGAGAGCGAGTGGTGGATGTGGAACTGAATTAGCTGGCTGCTACTTGAACCTGCGCCCACTGTGTTGTGTTATGTTATATTTAGAAAGAGACTGTGGCCACTCTATTCTCTCTACAGGATGTCTTAGTTTCTAAGTTTCTCTATGACTTGCCTTTAATTAAACAAACAAAACCACAAATATTACAATTACAAATTGGGGGCAATATGAAGAAGGAAGAGAAGATACGTATCTCAGTCTGAGGATTCAAATTAGCAAGAAGAAAAAAAAAAGATAGACTTTTTGCTAGAGTTTGGAATGGGAGAAAATGTGAAAGAAATTCAAATTAACCGTTGAATTAAATTGACAATTTGAGTGATATTTAATTAAGCATCAGCACCATTTTTTAATGAATACCATAGAATTTAATTGTCTTTCCTTTATTTGTAATTTTTATGGGCATATTAAATAATTTTAATTATGGACCAATATACTTTTTGTTAAGAAGTGTGGTCCACGATGCAAATCTATTAATCTTATGGGAATTATGTAAACCATATGATCAAAATTAAATATTTAAGATTAATCTCACTGTTCTCCATTAATTAATGAGAATCGCCAATTTTAAATCTGTGATGCATAATTGATAAAGATCTATCCTTTTGTTAGTGCATTCACCTATAATTAAAGTATTATTTTCTAACATTTGTGTCTTAAAAAGTAACTTTTAATCCACACACAATCTTGTTCTCACATATACGAGTGTTAGAGAAACAGACTAATTAAATTCTATTTTTAATATTATTCACTAATTTAAGAATTAACATGTTTGGCTATTCTATGAGACTGGGCTCAGAAAGTGAATAAGCCTTTAACAAAAGTTAAGCACACTTTGTTCTTAGCATATAAATAAAATATTGGGAAAGCCAAACAATGCCTTCAAATATCATTCAAAGTCATTTATTTTTCTCCTACCATGTTATGGTCAGCATCTCCTAATCTTTTCCATCTAACTTAAGTATTGATTAGTCTTCAATTTTCATTATAATAATGTAACTTTATATTATTAAAGTAAGATAGGACAATATAACTTACATAAATGCCAAATTTTTTAGAAAATTAAATAAATTACTATTTTTTTTTTACTCATAATCATTAATTAGGATTTATTTAAATACAACCCCAATCAGTTTGGAATAATTTATTAACCAATTATATTTCATTGAAAATTTTAAAATACTACTATAGTCAAGTCATCTCGATTACATTCAAAATCTCATCACGCTCATCATTTTTCTTTAGTCCAACAAGTAGGAGCGGAGGACCTTATGGTCAAAAATAGGTGTCAATTATCGCTGAGTTAAACTTGTGTTTATGTTCAGAGCTAATTAGATAGAACTAAATCTCACGATAACAAGTATTTAATTGTTTAAAAAGTAGTAGTTTTAAAGCAGCTTCTTCAATCTTCCCCTTTTATATTCCTTACCCTTTTGTACTACTTTATATTCCACTACTTCATCTCACTTTTCTTTGGTTAGTTATTTGGTATTCTCTTCTCAAGATGATGGTTTTACTTTGAAAAGAAGAAAGGGAGGATTTTGATTAGTGGGAATCTATTAATGAAAGTGGACTTTATATCATAAAGATTGTCAATTTAATTTGTGTTGTGTAAAATTTCCACCAAGTGTCCAATTTTTATTGAGGAAGCTTGATTGCAAAGAAACTTCTTAATTGCTTTCAAGCCATCCAAAATGCAAAATTTTATTCCAACTCTATGTTGTCATATAATTCCATTTTTTTTGATGGAAAGGCATTAAATTTATATATTCTCACTTTGTCCTCCGTTTGTCCTTCATTATTTTGTAACTTTCCCTTTCTTTTTACATTTTTTAATAAAAACACCTTTTATAGAAAATCAAGATAATTGAACCATAATAAGATTCTGTTTTGCATGATTCTACTAAAAAAAATGTCTTTATAACTACTAATCAATTAAATTTTAGATAGAAAGCCTTATTTTATTGCCAAAATCTAACTATATATCAATGGAATGGCCAATTGTTTTTTTGAGGTAAGGAACGGCCAATTGTTTAAAAGCTCCTTTTCTGTTGAAATCATAATAAGGTGTGCTACCAAGCATATCTTATTTGATCAATCCAAATATAGAGAAATTAAGAATAATTGAAAAAAAAATGACCAAATTCAAAATAATTAAGAGCCATGTACAAAAACTAAAAAGAGGACATTCTCCGGCATAAAAAAAATGTTGTTCTTTTTATGAAAAAAAAAAAAAGATAGATTCTCTAATTTTAGAATAAAGTCCAAAAGCTAAGGAATAATTCATATATAAACTAGGATTTAAAAAAGAAGTTATATATAAATTATGGTATAACCCACAATTAATTAATACACACCATCATTAATTTGAAGTGAATGTGACAAAAGAAGGAAGAACGTAACTCTATTTACGTCTAAATCTTAACATTTCAGGTTAAATTAAAAAATGAAATTATACCAAATGGCATTAAATAAATATATGTATTTATGAAAATATTATTACTTTTTATCTTTTTTTTTTTAAATGTCACCAGAGTAATTTTTTTTGGCTGTTCTCATATAATTGTAAAAATTTTCAATTTATATAAACTTAATACTATTTAAAAAATATATGTTCTTGCTCGACTATTAAGTCAAATTAAATAATTAATAATGTTAAAATCTACCGCATTATGCCATTTTTAAGATGGAGAATTACTTTATAACCCTCATTGCCAATGCCAATTCTTAATTTATTTCTTCTTAGGGTGGGAATAAATTTATTTATTTTTCAGTTTTTTTTTTTAATAAAGTTTTTGATTACTGAGGAATGATGAAATATGTCCGTCACTGTAAAGTTTTCTGTAAATGGACAAAATAAAAAGTTGGGTCCAAAATCCAAATCGTTGCGGAATCCACCGACACTCATCCAAATGGAATAGGATAATCTTTAATTTAATTTATTTATATATTTATAATTTATGTACCTCTCTCTCTTCCCGTAAACAATTATTATTTTCCCACTACCAATTATTTCCTTTTAGTGGTTTGAGATATAGCTGATGTAACGTTGAATATGTATGGTAAAATTGTATATATATTAATTGAAGTGAGTATTGCGTGGGAAAAAATCGCTATTGTCCTTTTTTTTTCCTAAAAGTTTGGGAATTTAAATAGGTATTTTTAAAATTTAAAAATTAAAATCGAATAAATTTGAAAAGCTCAGAGTTAAAATAGAATTTGGACTTAATTTTCGTTTTCTCGCTTTCTCTACATAATTTTAGATTTAGTTAATTTTCTTTTGACTCATCTTCACCGTAAAATAAATATTGATTTTGAATTACAGTCTTAAATTTTAAATTTTCTATTAATTAATTAATTTATTATTATTATTTTTTTCATTTCAAAGGATCATATTATAACGCGGTTTCATATATCACATAAACTTTGTTGATCGACCTATCATGTTATAAGAACTACAATTTATCTATATATTTTTTGATAGTTGCATTATGTTAAAGGTAGGACCTAATATGTCGTAGATTTGTGGAAAAAAACATGGGTAGATGGCATCATTATTGAAGATCTAAGACCGAGATTTTTGATTGACACATAACTGTGATGTTATGACCATATGAACAATTAACATTCATGATTTGCTCGATAACGATTAGATTTTTGAAAAATAAGATCACTTTTTATCAATTATGCTTTGATCAAGACTTGTCGAACATATTCATACCATTTTTGTTTGTACAATAAGGGTGGGGATGAGGATAAACCTCCGATCTCTAAGGAAGGAACAAGTTAGATATATTAAGTACTACTGAGCTATATTCATGTTGGACATATTCATACTATTATTATTAAGAAGTAAGAAATTCAATATTTGCCAATAGGAACAATTCATCACTAAATGACATCTACTCTTTCTCTTGATGGCGGAAGAAATTCAACATTCGATAAGTCATCTACGACAAACAAGCTGTATGATAGTAACATTTTGTCTCAATGACATAAAAT